ATTGGGCCTGTACTCTGGTTTAACTCTGACAAAACACAATTTATTAACTTCCACACAACACAAAAACATATTGATAGCCTCAAACTGATTGCTAATGATGATAACATTAACTTTGTTATATTCTTTATACTATTAAACGTGTAACTGTGACCATTTACATACTTAAATTATACAGGGTGTTAGAAGTTTGACTGCCTTAATTTTAGCAGACGATAGAATACATTTAATAAACAAATAAACCTTTTATGACATGGGTCATAAACTTAACCTCTTCCGAGAAAAAATTCTCAAAATCTCCAACTTGACGTAAACAAGTTCGATTAATGTGCCTATAGCACTCTTTTGAACTTCTTTATGCTTAATTGTAAAAAATAATATTAGCGTTGTAATAAATTTAAAATTCTATAAAATTCATATAGAGCAATGTGACAACGGCGCGGCGGTTTATTAACACGAGGTACTAAGGTGTCCAGCAACCACCAATACGCAATTCTGTTGGTATCTGGATTCGACCGTGTCGGAGTGTTTTTTTCGTACCACTATTTCCTTTTCTTGAGGTGCTTTCCAGCGAGTGCGCGAAAATTGGATTCGAAGGAGTCGTGCGTACATCGAAAATGGTGGTGGACATTTTGAGCATATGTAGTAGATTGTTTTGTATATGTGCGTTTAAAAAATTACAGAATTTTGCTTTTTGGTAAGTACCTAAATTATTTTAATACGTATGATTATTTAGGCGACGTGAATCTTTGGGTACTTTAACTACATATTATTCAAATACGTAATTTGAATAAAAGTTAAGTTCCTGTTTTAAGAGATTCATAATTACTAAAATTAGAGCTAACATTTAAGTACAACATTAACTTCGTACTACAAAATCGATGTTTTATTTTATTTATTTAAAAACTGGAGAATAATTGCCTTGAAGTTTACTAAATGTTTACATTTTTTCCGTAGAACAAGTCTGCCGCATGTACACGTAGTGTGCATTAGCAAGTTAAGCGGTGTTGTCACGTTGTGATGAAACTCTCCGATATTAATACTCGCTATATTTTGAAAACTGTTAATCTTACGCCCCTGTAATATACAACTTTTTTTGTTAATTTATGATTACTCTATGTCATGCTGAAGTAATGGCACTCAAACTCCTTACACCCTGATTATGCCCAAGTCAAATGTTGACTAAGGCACGGCACTTTTTTCTGGTGACTACTCTTTCCCGAGACGTCTTTGTAGACCAGAAGAGAATACTGCTTTGATGTCCCATTCATGTGTAAACATTTTTAGGAAATTTAAGCCCTACACGTTTGTATATTTATGAAATTTGCTTGTTGGTTTTTAATAATAAAATGTACAAGTTTTTATAAATTTCGTATCATATTGGAGCCAAAATTTATAATCAATTTCCGGTCAAAGTTATCTCACAATTCGTCAAAACTGTCAAAACAACTAAAACAAAAAGTCAAAAAAGTTCAGAAGATGAAAACAGATAGTTTTCCGAAATGTCAACAACTTTTTAAAATCCGCGGAACAAAGTGATGTGTCTTTTTGTACTATATTTTGTATTTATCTGCTTTTTCCAATTTGAGATTTTTTGGTTAGGCAAAACTATTTTCATAAAAATAAACCTTTTGGTGCAGTGGTTTATTTCACTAATTTTAAAAGTTTTTCACAGGTGGCAAAATACCCCAAAAAAAATGGTAAACAAATGTTTTGAAAATTGTACCAGTCACAATAAAAAGATGGCATGCTACCATCTGAGCTTTACTAGAAGTGTATTATCTCACCTGAAATGCAACTTTTTATTAAATTTACATAAAAATTGAACCTTTAGGCTAAATATATATTATTACTTGATTAACAACACGTTATAAGCTTTTAAACATAACTACAAGGCTGTTTTAAATATTTGAGTACTCTTTCTTATCTTACATCTTGTTATTAGTTTAAAAATAGGATTTCAAGTGCACTAATCAGCAAGTATGCCACCTGAGTGAGGTCGAGTTTGCTCTAATAAATAAAAACTATATTTCATATCTCAATTTCGAGGAATCAGTGTACATTTTGGTCGGAATATGACGAGATTACATAGGAATAACCAAAAATATGACGGAATAACATGGAATACAAAGGGACAATATGGAATATAATGGAACAGCTCGGAATAAACCGGAATAATAGCGGAGTATGTGGGAATAAGAAGAAATATAGATGCAATATTATGAAATATTTTTATTCATTGGAATAACAGAATAACTTGGAATATTATGAAATAACTTGGAATACATGGAATGAATTCTGTTAACTAAACGTTTGTAATGTAGTTTCCCAATCTTCATTACGCAAAAGTTTTTAATTTTGCCTTTATGGAAAAATTTTCCAAAAATATTATGTGATCTTTTGAGGGTTTTATTTTTGGAAAAAAATAATTAACTATTATATAAAAAAATAATTAACTATTATATTTTTGAAATCTCTAAGGGTTATGATTTCATTTCATTATAATAGAATATAAATACATAAAAAACGGTGCAAGCGACCATTGAAATGGCGTAAACATGCCCAGACCCAAATGTTATTTTTGCTGTCCGACGTTTCGAATTCGATTTACAATCATCAACTTAATTTTTTAGAGTATGGTCCTCTCTTTTAAAATATATTATTTTAATTCTGCGTTTATTGGTGTGTCGCTTGTGATGATTTAATTATTTTCGAATACATTTTTGCCATCATCGGGAGCTTTTAAAGCGATTTTTAATCGAGCTTTCAAGTAAGAAAGTAAATACAGTTAATCTAAGGCCAATGAAAACCAAAAAAAAAGCAAATTTGTAATAATTAATAAATTAAACAAAAACGTCATTATTTGTTTTATACAATTGGTCCAAATGTCATGAGTTTTCAGTTTTTGTGTTTATTTCACGAATCTATATTGAACGGAATACATTGGAATAAGTAGGAATAAATAGGAATAAGTCGGAATAAACCTGAATAAACCGGAATAAACCGGAATTAATTCGAATATAAACGGAATACTTACTCCAGAATAAGCCGGAATAAATGAAAAAATTCCAATAAACCTGAATCAGTGTACATTTTGAGGGCTCATGAATTACCCATCGCTACGAATAGGTACTAAAAGATGAAGTATTAGTATTAGTTAGAATAAACAATCATCATCTTCTTTTAACTTATTCAGTATTATGCCATTCCGAATAAATAATAAAAACTTATTTCCAGCAGTAAATAATAGTTTGTTTACTTTTAAACAAAAATGTCAAAATTTTCATTTGCTTTTTTCATGGCTACTACGATGAAATTGAATAAATCACAAAATTGGCGTTTTTTGGCTTTTAATAAAATCTTTTCACCCAAGTATTATACATCGTTGAACTAGAAATGTTTTAATGCTAATGCTTTAATGGTGAAAAAATCCAATATGGTATCCATAATAAACTCAAAAGTTTTAATAATAAAAAAGGTAAAAAAGAAATAAGAAAAGTCAAGTTTTCAGTTTTTTCAGCTTATTTCAGGAACGGTATAATTTATCCCAAATTTGTTTTCATAATCCGAATGTGCATGAAAATATGCAACTTTTTTTTGTAATTTAACCAACCTTGTATGTCTTCTGAAGATACTAATGGTGTGCACCTTAAAAGTGACCACCGTATACAGGCTAATTAAAGGAATTTAGGGGCGTATTTTTGAGATCAAAATAAGACTTTTTTTCCTATAAAGGTGGGTCTACAAATGTTTCATTTTCGATATACAGGGTGTTAATATTAATTTTTTCGATTTTTTTAGGAATAATTTCCAAACAGATTTAAATGTTAGCATAAAACTTGGGGCACGGTTTTTTTTTAGGATACTAAATTTAAGTATGTCATTGCTTTTGACACTGCTTGTAGAGGGCACCACCTATAAGGGTTCGTTTGAATTAAATTGGCTCTAACTATGCTATCCTATACATTGACGTTTCGTATTAGTGCTTTTATTCTTCTATCAATTTTAAGAAAAAAGGTATATTTGGTCGAAATCTCTCAGAACAACAGTTTTCGATATATTGGCTGATTTTCGATTAAATTATTTTTCAATAAAGTTTCAATAAATTTGGGTATTTTTTATTTTGCTTTTTTTTTGTAATAATCTGTTTTTTGCCTGTATCGTTCCTAAGAGTCTTAGATTTCAACAAGTTTGAAAAAACCTTTAAGAATTGTTGTCAAACTAAGCAGTCATAGCCTACTGTTTTTTCTCTATGTATTTTGATATTGACATTGACAATAATACCGTTTAGTCAGCACTGATTTTCTCGAAAACGGTTAGTTGTATAAAAAAAATGTAAAGAGCTAATATTCAAGATTAGCTGCATTACTGATTAGATGGTGAAAATAAATTTTAAAATTTTTCACCGTATATAGTTAATAAAATTTGAAAATATGCATTAACTCTCATCAGTCAATATCTCGGAAACAGTTGGTTCAAGGGATTTCGATCAAGTATACCTTTTTTGCTTTTATTCATAGGTGGCAGAGTATCTTATAAAAAAATTCAAAGTATAAGTATAAAGTATCGAAAATTTTACTCTTACAAATAGAGTTAAATGAGGATTTCTTTAGTAAATATCATTAGACTAACAAAACTACCTACAGATGTGTATTCCAAGAAATTGTTTTTAAAGAAATATCAGAATTTGATAACAAGATAGGTACTTAACATTTTTTACATAAGTATAACATATTTCAACGTGGAAGTTAAGAGACATTAATATTACATTTAATCCAGTAAATCGCTCTAGTTTCCTATAAACGCCATCAAGATCAAGGGAAAGTATGATAGCAACAATGCACGCTGCATATTCTAGGGAGGTACGCGATCGTTGCGTGCTTTAATTTCATTGCAATGTTTTTAAAGTGGGATTTTGGTAAATGCACGGGGGTCCTTTCACGCAGTAATCCACTATAAAACCAGACTCTGTTTCTAAAGGATTCAGTTTAGTTTCAATCCTTACGGCCATCCTAAAAAAATAAGCCCAACTATGCAGTTCTACATTGTAAGTAGGCAGTGCTCGGTGATAGTGTCTTAAGTGTTGTGTGATTCGAATTTTTGGATTGTTATAAAGTAAAATTTGAAAACTTGTGACGTTAAAATACTCAAGTTTTCCTTGGGACGTGCGTTGTATATAATAATTAATGGTCGAACATTTTTTTTATCGCTTTTCCAAAAGTAAAATATTTCTGAGACAGACATATCGGAACGATTATATCTATTATTCACACATTTGTGTTTATTTTTGCGTTATATTATATTATCTTGGTTTTTATATTTTGCTGCAATTAATAAAAATACATATTTTAACTTTTAATTTTACAAAAGATGAAAAAAGTTTTATACAGGCTGTTTTTTAAAAAACGCACAAGCCTTAACTCTTTTTGAAAAGCGATAGCCAACTTTTTTTTTTCAAATAGCAATATATTTTTTTTTTCGTTTATTATTATGCAGATTTCTATTTTGAATTCAACTATGTATATAAAGTTTACTTTTGTGAAACATGTATTACAGAAAAAGCATGAAAATATTAGTCAATACCGCATTATTAGCACCCTGTCGCTCAATTGACAACAAACATATTTTGACTAATTATGTATGCCTGGAAAACAAAAAATAATACAACAAAGCAAGTAAATGTCATTTTAGAGTTCGTGTCTCAGTTTTTTTCGGCTTTTTCTTTTTTTTTTTCTTTTCCGTTGGTTTTTTTTTTGAATTAGTTTCATTTTGCAAATTTTGGTTATTATTCATTTGCGGGCCTTGTTTCGGTTTTCTTTTGGTTTTACTAAAATTGTTGTTGGGTTTTTCCGGTGATTTTTTTCTTCCCGGGGAGTTTTCGGGGCAGGTTGTTTTTGGATTTGTGTTTTGTTTGAATTTTTCCGTTGTTTTTTCCATTCCACCTTTTTTTTTTACTTAAAAACGGTGTTTTGCAGGGCAAAAACTCAAGAGAGAGCTCTTATCTTTCGAATTGAACCATTTGTTTGTTTAAAAATATCAAAGTCAGTGCTTGTATGCACGCCACTGTTAGAGCTAAAAATTATGTTTGTATTGAAAAACATGCGCCTTTATGCCATGCCATTAACTATTACTACGTACTAAATAGCACTTAAATATTTCAAGCGGTTTCAAAAATATTTATTAAATTCCTTCTTTTTCCTAAAATTTTAACACCCCGTATTTTCGCAATAGAACATTTTTGGATCATAGTTTATAAAGCAAACTATCATTAATTTTCCGTGTAGAATCACACTCTTAAATATTCGCATACCATTAAGGAACACCCTGTATATGGTCACAGGCTAAAGCACATCAAAATACTTACGCAAACCTAGACCTCGATCGAGTTATTGATATTTTTGTATGATTTTGCTGCATAAAAAATAACGAGAAAGACAAAGATGTTTTTATAAAATTTTTAAGGCTTTTAAATTTCCAATAAGCTGCTAATTTTTGTTTAATTTCTAGCATTAAGACCATATTAAGAAAAATATTCTATTAAAAACTCGTAAAAATAAAAATTCTGAGATTTTACTTTTTATTTTATTCTTACTGAACCCTTTTCTTATAAAAAATTGAATTTTCCCTTTTGCATTATTAATTTTCGTATTTCTGCGTCTTTTAAATTCAATTCAAGTCAACTCTTAACAAATTTCCTTGTGTCTTTAATTCTGAGTAAAATTGTGAGGTTAATAATAGCTGGTAGCACTTCATTAAAGACAAAAAAATGTTGACCATTACCATGTTAATTTTCAGAACTACTAAAGTGCATAAACATTGCATTTATTGACAATGTTCTCGAAAACGGCGCAAATTATCGTTATTTATTATTTAATTCTAATTTCTTCCAGAAAAATTAATTATCTTACGAATATACAACGGATTTTTTTTTAAGAAATAAAAAGAGCCCTCGTTTACCCCTACATTTTCGCTTTTCCGCATGGGGAAAAAACTAAATTGCTATAAATTATTGCAATCTACGGTTTAGACTCTTACAATTAATATTAAATGTATTTTTAACAATGTGTTTTTCGTTTCCTTTCCTTATTTCTTGGCACTGTATTATAGAATCACATTGTATAACCGACAACCCAGTATTGGTACATACTCCATTCGATTGAACATAAGGAAAATTGTTCCAATTAACTTGATTTAGTATAGTAGCTTCAGAAGGAAATCAATTATTAATATGGAAGGCTATAATTGATTTAGAAAAATGTAATTTCCAAAATAAAAACAGTATATATTTCAAATAGCCCTCTTTATATTCTTCTTTTTCTTTCCATTCTTAGTTTTGTTGGGTTTAAATGCATGTCTTTAGTGAATTGGGAAAAACATACGAGAAAGCGGTTTTTGCAAGACGTTAACACTGATCCTTTTACAGGTGTGTGCCGCCGCAATCTTCGCGGCAGTTAACGCTCGACCAGGCGGCGGTTATGAACATTACGATGTAGCAGGCTATGGCGACGCCGGCGTCGAAGGACATGCTGGGTTCTCGCTCTATGATGGAGGGTACGCCCAGGCTGCCGAGCTAGATGGGTACGGAGGAAACGAAATTGGACACGGGGACGGGGGTCACCACGAGGAATATGTCGATTACCATGTAAGAGAGCAGTTTTTTTCCATATTTAGTTTTTGCTACTTTTGAGTTTAAGTTTTAAGTTTATGCGGGAAATTTAGTATCATCTACACAATATTCAACAGCTATAATAAAATTGCCTACACATAAAATAAAACAGTTTTATACTACGAAATTCCTTAAATTGACAGGAAACACTGAATATGTATAAGAGTGTTTCTTCATCAAACAATCACCAAGAAAGAAGACTAAAAACTGATGCCTTTAGTCACGATCTAGTTATGCATAGAGACTGGTGTCTTCGCAGAACATTGTCTAGTGACTGAAAAAATACCTCACAGATATAGTCTGCATTATGAAAATCCAGAATGCAGATTTTGTGGCGTTCGATACAGCCAAACAATTTTTGTGCGAATGTGAAACGTTATATCATAGAAGACAGGCTCTTAAGGATAACAAAAAAGTTATATCCAACACTTAACTCACGGTAAAACTGCACAAACTGGTGCAAGAGAATAGGATATTGGAATGGATACTAGCTTGAAAATGAGAGATCCAATAGTATGAGCTACAAGGTTGTGGTATTTCCGGAGGCATTACCAGGTGGATCTCACGAGAAGGATGTTTCAAATTGGAAGGGATCATATGGCAGAATCTGAACCATCAAAGACGAAGGAATAGTAATATTGGACCAAGGTAGTAAAAGGTTTATGTTTAAAGATGCTGATGCATATTCAATACGATGGCAATGATTATGTACTCATTTAGAGGAATGACAATTGTGTTAAAAAAAAATGTTTTCTATTTTCGTCAAGTTTAAGTTCGTCAAGTCAAATTAGTAAACTTTGAACTTTTCTAACAATTTTTTAACTAACGAAGATAATAGGAAACTCATGCAACTTGATATCTCTTTACCTTTGACGATTTTATACAAATGTTGAGAGAGAATCTCGAATAATTTTAATAGTAATATTTTATTGTAATTTCATTAAAAGAAAAATTATTCTTCACCTTTTTTGTAATACATTGAGATAATAAGCCAGATTCCGTAAGAAAATTTTATGTAATATTTTAAGTAAAGCAATACACAGTAAAGAAATATAAAAGCGGGTGCCAAATCTAGATCCAATAAATTAATGTTTAGTGTTCAGTTCACTTACGCATTGAAGTGATTCGTGCTTTATTCTACTCGCAAAAATTTTCTACTAAAGGTAAATTCAACCAGGAAATGATGACTTTCACATTTTATCTATTTTTAAGTCCTCTGCGAGAGCAACCTATTACGCAACTTCTATAAAAATGGAACAATACTCTTTATTATTCGAATGATTATCTAATTACTTAAGAGTTTTAGACGGTCAGGATGATACATACAAAAATATTGTTTATTCCAGAAAATGATAACAATACAAGTCATATGAAGGTTTATTGTAACAATATTTTATTATTATGCAACTAGCAGATACTACTTGGTATTTGGAGCCTAAAAATTGATTTGTTATTATCAATCTACTGATTAAGAGAAAATAAGTATCTAAAATACTACTTTCTTACGTTCTTATTTAATTAGTTTTTGCAAAAATCTTTCCGTTTAATTTATAGCGACAAGTGGTCGAAACAAAAATATAGCAGTTCTGCTCTTAAAAAAAACAATTTAATATTGAGGACGTTACGAACACTATGTTATGTAATTGTCAATACCATTTACTAATAGGAAATTGTTGCTTTAAATATATACGTATGATCCTGAACTCACTAATACTTTAAACTTCAAAAAAGAGATAATTTACTGACATATAAAATTATGTGCTGTTTCTATCTATGACAAAGTTAGTTACAAACAAAATAGTGTTTTTAAGAAATTGCGGAACGCCTGACCACTTCTACGAACCCTGGATAGAATATTTAGTTTCCGTGAATATTTTCTATACAGACTCAAAAAGATTTAATTTATGTCCAATTACAGAATACTAATTATAAGGAAAATGCCTTAAAAGCATATTTGTATGCGAATATAACAACAATTTCTACTACGTATATGTGTAACCACATCCTTCCGGCGATTTGTATTCAGAAACAAGTCATAACTGAAGAAATCAAGTCGCAGGAAACGCTCTGAAGCGAAGCGTTGTCACACAAGTCCGTGTCGTATGCTCGGTTGTTAGAAAGTGATAAAAATTAGTAAACACATATAATAAAGGCGTAAAGTATAGCAGCAATTAGTAATTAAACTATTTCCATCGTACATTGTTACTTAACGGTTGTTTTTCGGTTTTCTAAAAATTTACATCTACCATAAGAGTAATTAAAGTTAATTGTTACGTTGTAATGACTTTCTAACGATAAGTAATAACTACCTATAGTTATAAGAGTATAGAGTATTAAGTGAAATGGGTAATGAAAACTACCTACCCAATTTAAATCACTTTCGAGATAGCAAAAGAGAAACTGTGATAGATTTACATACTTCGAGTTTTCATAATAATATTGTGTTCATAACTAGAGCATATATTGATTGATTCAAATTAATTAGATGGAATACATAGTCGATAATGTAAGAATTCCACTATTTCTGTAATTAGTTCATTTATATGAACATATTAAAAAATTTCCTACATTCTCAACAAATGCTAGTTATGATAAAGTACATAAATCTACGTAGACAAACTAGCTCTTAATAATTAATTATGTGTAATAAAAAATTGATTCACTGAAATTGTTTTTCAAGAAATTATTTGACACTTCGTTCAAGAATGGTGCTTTTACGGACTTATCAGAAACGTAGATTTACTATATACGAGATCTGTTCTGAAAATAACTGAACTTTTTGAATTATGCGCTAATGGAGATATTTAGTGATATGCGGTTGGTAGCATTGCGTTGAGCATAATCCCCTTTGTAACCACATGTTCTTGAATTGTTGATATCTCATTTAGTTTGCGTGATATTGTTATTTGAGATCAACCTTTTTAAACATTAGTGACAATTATTGATATGGGTGATTTTCTGGAACAACGATAAACTTTTGAAACAAGTTTACGGAGATGATGCTTTGATTCGTACGCAATGTTACGAATAGTTTTCACGACATAAAAGTGATCGTCAGTGAATTAAAGATAATCCTCGACCAGGAACTGATGACTTTTACGTTCATAAAGTAAAGATCTCGTGCGTAGCATCTCAATTGGGTCATGGCATGAAATTTTGCCTGAAACATTGAATATGCTTGGAGTTGCAGCAATATTGGTTTATCGTTTGATTTCCAAACAACAGTAAGAAAATTGTGGAAGTTTGTCGGCAACTCCTTGAACAATTCAGTGACGATGAAACATTAATTCAAAGGATCATAACGGGAGACGAAACCTGGGTTTACGGATACGGCACTGAGACAAAAGTTTAATCATCACAATGGATTGGCAAAGGACTCTGGGGAGACGCCCCAAGAAAGCCCGTCTGTCTCGATCTAATGTCAAAGTGATGCTCACTGTTTTTTTCGACTTTTCGAATGAAGGTATCCATCGGAGTACTCTGAAGTTCGGTTATTTTCTGAAACCTCGGATATAAATGTATTTGATAAAAATTTAGGAAATTGAAAATTCTTTTTTTTTAAGATTTAAATATAAAAATTAATAATAAAAAATATGTAATTATAAAAAATAGGAATTGAAAACGGATATGTATCTATTCATTTTAACTTTTTGTTTTTACAAAACATTTCTTCTTTTAACCATTTACCACCTATTTATAATATTGACTTATTTTTTTTCTAGGCACCAGCCAAGTACCACTACGATTATGCTGTCCACGATCTTCACACTCACGATATAAAGTCCCAGTGGGAAACTAGAAATGGAGATAAAGTTAAGGGAGAATATACTCTTGTTGAACCAGACGGCAACAAAAGGATTGTCTCCTACACAGCTGACAAACATAGCGGCTTCAACGCTGTGGTGAAGAACGTGAAAGATTACTAGCGAAAATGGTGTAACACTTTTATTTATTTATAGCGTATTAAAAATCAGTATTTTGTTATTGTTTGTTTAGAAATGTAGAAATCGTTTGTTTCACATTATCATCCATATCCTTTAGTCTATGCCAATTGCCATACAACAGTAATCTATGCGCACAAGTTACAGATACTCCAACTGTGTTCATGGTAATCGTTTTACTTTCTATGTATTCTATTTTTATTTATCTCCATGTAAGCTGTGAGACGATATGTAACAGTATTCTTGTAAATAAGCTATACTTTGTATTTCTGTCGCTTTGCATAAATAAATGTTTTTATTTTTGTATGAGAATTATTTTACTTTTGAGTTATGTAAATGTTTTCTGGGATTTTTAAAATATTAAAAATCAAAAAGGGTGCTTGGCTTGTATCTTCGAAATGCAAAATTCAATTATTGTTTTTCTAAGTGCAATTTGAAATCATAAGAAAATTTCCTACAACTTTGGCCCATACTATTTTTTTCCTAATTCGAAAGTAACAGTACTGTTTTTTCCGCTAAAATTCATTTTGGCTATAACTTACGAACCATTTGTGGGAATTAATTTATTTCTGCCATACACCATATGCCACAGGAAACAAAAAGGCTCTCGAAGTCAGCAATTCAAAACGTCTCTTTTCTTATGGCTCCTTCAACAAATTCAGAGTAAATATTTTATTCTACTATTTTGTATAGTACAGAGCTGGGCATAGCCCTCATCAAAAGGGCTCTAAGCTCAAAGCCCCAAGCAAGTATTTAAAGTGGTTTGGTCCTTGAAACCCCAATTACATTTTGAAATCAAAGGACTTGCCAATTACTTTGAAAAGTAATTAAGTTGAAACCTCTAAGTACTTTGAAGAAAGCTTCAGCACTCCAAAAAGCTTGAACTAGAGCACATCAAAAAGGCTTCAAGCAGTTCGAATATATCGAAGCTCTTTTTATGTTTTTACTGTCTTCAATAATTTTGATTCAGTTCATTATTTAATTTTTAAATTAATTGGTGCTTATTCTATTTTTGAAAGGCATCGACGTCTGAAAGAAAAAAATATGTTTTTGATTCTTTTGTCACTTTTTTCAATTTTCTAATTTATAATGAAATTCTGACAGTTCATCTTTGGTAACAGTTTTTCAATATTATTTTAGCAAAGACTACAATTAGAGCCAATATTTTCTTACCTTAGTTCAATATTAAGTACCACGACTTCACGTTACAAAAGTTTCCCTTATATAAAAAGCAGTTGAAATTTATAATGTAAATGTGAGTGACTCAAAGATGTCTGATATTTCAACCGTCAAGTAAATAGGCAATTGATGAATGATAGAACATTATTTTATAAATATCAATACATAGATCATTTTCAATCAATAGTGGAAAGTAACTACCCCTTACACGAAAAACTCCAAAAACTAAGACAATGTGGGAAGAGTCGTCATCACGTGAAAGACATTTTTTTTCTAGATAATAAAACACAATTTATTCCAATTAGAATAAAACTAGATATCTTTATTGAATATTAAAGATGATATATTGCGGCTAATAATATAAAAAAATATTAGATAAGTGACCATTGCTTGCAGCACTACATGCCTTCAATCTATTGGTAAAATTTTCCATCTAAAAAGGGAGGTCTAATGGTGATGGATCACATGATCTTGATGGCCAATTAACATCTCTTCGAGAAATCATTCGATTACCAAATTTCTGTTTCAAAAGATCGGTTGTTTCCGTTGCTGTATGATATGTTGCACCGTCCTGTTGAAAGCATATTCTGCACATACGCTCCAATTCATTCAATAAAAAGTTATTAATCAAGATTCCATATCGAGCACCATTCACAGTAATAACCTTTCCTACTTCAATTTAGAAGAAACCAATCACTACACCAGACCAAAAACCACTCCAAACAGTTACTTTTAGTGGACGCATTGCTTGTTCTACTATTACTCGTGGATTTTCTTCACCCAAGATATGACGATTTTGTTTGTTTACATATCCACCAATTCTCATTTAACAAATGTATTAACGTAATCCATAATCAGTTGGCAATAATTCTTATGTTATCTGTATTTTGTAAGCCTTTAAGTGAAGATCCTTATGCAAAATATTGAATTAAGTGGTTTGTTTAATGCTTAATTGCTGTGAACAATCACAAATTGATGTGTTTCGTTCTGCAGTGACACTATCATTGACAGCTGCAATATTTTCTTGCGAACGACCACTGTGACTATAGATGTTACTTCTTTGATCTTGAGTTGAACCAGTTTCTTCAAATTTATTCACCATATTTAGAATGGTGTTGTTTAATGGACAATTTTTTTTCCATATTTTGTACGATACTTTCTTTCAAGTTCTGCATAACTTTCATCAAATTTAAAATAATTTTTAACAATAAAGACTCGCTGTTCAATCGTTTACAGTTGTCAAAAAACCAAAACCATTCTAGTACAAAAACCACAAATTGCGGTAAATTTAAAAAGTTTACTCTTTGAACACCATCTATAACTGCAACAACATAATTTTGCAAATAACCATTTCTTCTATTTGGTTATCTGCTTCCATGTTCATATTTGCAAATAATGATCATATCATTTATTGCGAACTCATATTACTGTCTCGTATCCGAAGGATCAAATTTGTTTCAAGAAAATCATTTATTTTGACAAGGTGAAATAATCGAATAAAAAATGCATGGTTATAACTTCTACCTGATGAAAGACCGAAGTAAGAGTTAAAATGGAGTCATACATACTTCATAAGAGCAGACGTAATAGTTTTCCGTATATTTGGTAATATATACTAAATGTAAGTAGATTAGATATAATTTGAAATAATGTAATTGATTTTGCTTTCACATGCAATTAGAGACATTTCTAGGCAGTTAACCAGCTATATAACCACAATACAGTAGATTAAATGACGCTTATCATATTTTATTACTATATTCATTATTATTAATCTATTATTTAGCATATAAGTGGTTAACTATGGTACATAGCAGTGGCGTTGATGACAGTATTTTCGCAATGAGAATGGACACAGCGTTTTTGGGAGGATGATTTCTATGTTTATATAGAGAACTTTCATGCCGAAAATATTTTGTACGGAATCTGCAAATTTTTAAATGTTGTCGACATTCAAATCCCGAAAACGGTTGCACATATTTGTGATGGTACGTTTTTTTCGTTCTGGGTAAAATTAAAATATTTTTGTTTATACCTATTTCAGTTTGATAATAACATTCTATTTTTCAAACCTCATAATTTTGCAATCTTATGGAAAATGAAAATTTCGAGAAAAATTAAAAACGCTACTTGTATAGGTATTTTAAATGCAACCTCTCAGGGTCTGCAACCTCCAACTTTATTTTTTAATTCGCAAAGTTACTGTAGCTGTTTTTTGCTAAAAAGGGGAATTGAAATTGTTGATCTTAAACTTGGGAAACCAAATTGTTTTATGTTTGAAAGATTAAGCGCTTAGGGGCTTTTATATGAACTTTTTGAAATCAATAATAAAATTTTAGGAAAAATAGAATAGAAAACACGATTAATGATTTCTTTCGAGTACAACTGCCAAAGCATTTTAGTTTTTCAATTTTCGGAGTAACAACCTTTTTCTTTTTGTACTTAAGATCTAGTGACTAAGTATAAGACAAACTGACAAGAGGTAGCTTTTATGGAGAACTGAATGGCCGTTCATTTTGAAGTTACTTGAAAAGGCATGTTTTTGACAGTGCATCTTTATCATCCTGTAATTTTTTTTATTAAGTATTATTGTATCCATTTTCATAAACACTTTTTACTTAAAATAATGCTTCCTATTTGCTGTTTGGTACCATATTTTAGATCTTATGTGCTAATAATTATAGATTACGTTTAAAACTAATTAAAAATTCAAACGGATAGCATTATATTCTTAGAATAACATGTGTTATACAACTTGTACAATTAAACCCGAAACAATTTTAGTGACATTTTTTTAATTATAAGAACATATTAGTCTATTATGAATACGATAATTATGGCTTCGGTACAGCAAAACGCGATTACATAATTCGTTACATATCTAGCTGACTAAACTGGCCACATCCGACTTTTCACACTCCATTAATTTGAAAGCACAAAACAAAGTATGCACATAAACTTATTTGAGAAAGGAAATGCATGCAGATATAGCTCAGGCCGCCGTGAATAAAATTTAATAAGTTAACACCTACACATTTAATTCAGGAAATTAACAGCGAACTAGATATTTTTATAATGGAAATGGAATAAGTGTATGTTATTTCTCATACATTAACTCAAATTACTGGAAATTGTAGATGTATTTCTTAAGTCGGCTCCAGTAACTCGCCAAACATCCGTCAAATACAAATAAGTCAAATATTTGCAAAAGATTTGGTTAAAATCTGTAATGTAAGATCATACACAAAATTAACAGGTGTTAGGTATGAGCACATTACAAATATCCTCAATAAAAAGAAATGACGAATTTGTATAGTTTAGGCTAATATTTGGCAAGTGAAGATATGCTTTCGAATGTATCGATATGCAGCATTCACACGATATGGAATTTGTTCACGTTTGACCAATATTTGGCAAGTTATTCCATCATCTGAAGCCGGCTTTAGGTAAATATCTTATCAAAATATGAAATAAAATAAAAGATGTAAGATGTTATTTATGGCAAAGCTTAAAAACGACAGAGTATATATAGAAAAGATAATTAAATAGTGGATAATTAACTGTTATAAATAATTTAATTAAAGACTTCATATAAACATGTCCCTTTTTAACAGATAAAAATTAACTAAAATTTAAATAAATTAGCGAGCCGATTTCTTTTTATTAAATTCTATATACCTCATCTGTCAAAACTAAAAATTGACCATGCTACTAGCGGAATGCCTGAATGACTGATTGTTCCAAGATGTATTGACTATTTTCACATTTTCTTAGTTGGAACTTAGATTAGCACTGTCAATTTTCAGTTAAAAATAAATTCCATAATTTATAATCCAACAAAATATTTATACAATTTCTTCTATAGCTAAAGGTTATATAATAAAATTTTTAAATAAAACAATAAGTGATCTTATATTGCAAAAATTATTATTTCCGATAAAGCAACAATTTAAAGTAAAAGTAAAGCTTAACAAATTTGTATCCTTTTCAAAATAACAATGAAGTCATTTGTACTGTCACTGTACATTTGATTTTAAAACTTTTCTTGTTCTTGCTAAACTTTGACAAACCTTGTGATTTGCAAGAAA